TGAAAAGAAATTATAATATTCAAGCTCTCATACTTTCATATTCATTCTTAGAATTATTTGTACTTAAACTTAAGAGAAATATCACTGTTGTGATAAAAGCTTTTTAGAAGCATTCATACTCTTGTATTAGATTTACATTGATTGTAAAGGATTTCCTTAAGAGGATTCAGTTGGAATCAGTAGCTCTTGAGAAGACTAAGAACAGTTGTTCTTAGGTGTTACTATTGTAATCTGTTTGATTAAATAGTGGATTAAGTCCTTGTTGAGAAAGGCAAATCACTCTAGGAAGGGTGGACTAAAGTAGTTGAGTTCAACGAACCAGGATAAAAATAATTGTGTTTTTAATTCTAAGTTTTAATCTTTCATACTTATTCAACCCCCTTCTAAGTATTATCTCACCTTCATCCCCCACTTAAATATTTTTGTCCTAAAAAATGTACCTGATGAGAATAATTCCGGACCTTAAGATCTCTCTGACAGAGGAATATATTTTCCCACATTTTCCATTGAGTAAGGAGCACTCATGGAGATACAACCCTTAATTGTGAGCAGTAGATATGATCCGCCTATCACTGGTGGTTGTGATCATCCCTCCATTGATAGGTCATTTACAAATATATTACCATAGTACATCAAGCACAATAAATTTGATAAAGTGTAAAGTGCTTTAAAGAATAAAGCAACGTCGAAGGCATATTTCTGATGAGATCCTAAGTATCCCAGGAGATGATATATGTAGAACCTGTCTGATGAGACTCAACGTCCATTAGGTGGGGCGTTTAGATGATCCTGCGTGATGAGACTCTCACTCCCTAAGGTGAGATTATGTGTTGAGTCAGTCTGATGAGACTGCAAGCCCCTTAGGTTAGACGTTGAGTCTCTTGGGTGAGACTTGGGTCTACACCCTCAAGAAAGACTTAGGATTTAAGTCTGTCGGGTCAGACTTCATTTGTGTCCATTGGGAGATACTTTATGTTGAACCTTGTATGAGGCGACATCAAGTCCTTCAAAAGAGATGTTTATATGATTTTGTTTGATGGGACTTTTAGTCCCTCAGTTGAGATTATGTTTTAAGCATGTCTGATGAAAGTCCAAGTTTCTAAGGCGAGGCCTTTAAATGAGCCTGCTTTATGGGACTCTCAGTCTCTCAAGTGAGATTATATGTTGAGTTTGTCTGATGAGTTATTGAGTCTCTTAGGCGATACTTGGGTCCACACCCTTAGGTAAGACTTAGGAGTTTAATCTCTCGGGTTAGACTTTAGTCGTGTCCCTCGGGCGAGACTTAAGGTTAGACCTTGTATAAGGCGACATCAAGACCCTAAAGCAAAGGCATTTAGATGATACATTTTGGTTGGACTCTTCGTCTCTCACGTGAGATTATATATTGAAGAGGCAACAAGGATCTTCATGTGGAAGTATGACATATTCATATTTCTTCAAGAGGCAATAAATATTTTTCCGTGGAAGTCTAGCATATTCGTATTGCCTGGATATGTGACAAAGATATTCATGTGAAAGTCTAGCATATTTGTATTGCTTAGAAAGGTGGTAAGGATCTTCATGTTGAATTCTAACATACATGATACCAAAATCAAAATGTTTCCCATGCTCATAATCATTCAAAAGCTCTTACATAGGCGGGGGATATACCCTTTTAAAAAATTCATAAATACCTTAACTATAATAATATTTTAAATGGATAGAGTTCCATGTTTTAGGGATGAGTCATCCATCCAATTCTTGCAACTTATATGCTCTGTGTGGCAGCTTCTGGAATACGCGGGACAATCCTTCCCACTTGGGTTTCAACTTTCCGTATTGCACAGGAGGAATCACTTGTCTCAACACCAGGTCACCTTATTATATTTCTCTTAGTATTACCTTATAATTGTATCTTCTAGTAGCATTTTCTTGGCGGCAGTTTCCCATATATAGGCGATGTATCTTACCTTATCGACCAAAGTGCGACATATTTTAGCCATGCATTGTTCACCTCCTAATTGAGTTAGAAGTGTCGCCATAAGAGTGTGTCAATCTCTACAGTTAATATAACGTCGACCCCGTGTACCATGGCGAAAGGGGTGTCCTTGTCATTTGAGTGAGACATGGTATGATACAACCATAATATCTCATGGAGTAATTCAGCCTATAAGCCTTGGGCGTCATCCATCTTCTTCTTGACTCCCTTTAGGATAACCTTGTTTATTGACTCTGCATGTCCATTGGCTTGTGGGTGGATAAAATAGACGAACTTTATTTGCACTCTCAATTTGTGGCAAAATTTAATGACTGTAGTACTAGAAAAATTGGTTCCATTGTCAGAGAAGCGGATGTTGGGAAACTCGAACCTGTACATGATCTTATGTGAGTAGAAGTTGTGAACTCTTTCTGCTGTGGTTTTGGCGACAACTTCTACCTCTATCCATTTTGTGAAATAACAGACGCATACAATCAAAAAATTTAGTTTCCCATGTGTTAGAGGGAATGTGCTTAGGATGTCTACCTCTCATTGCTAAAAAGGTCATGGTGATGTCATGGAATGAAGGAGTTCATCTGGAAAGGTGTGACCCAGGTTAATTTTACTGGATCCCCACGATGGACGCCACCGTACTTGTCAAAAAGTACATAATTCGTGGCACCCCTATGCTGATAGGGGTGGCCAGAGGTCTTAGTAATTTTTTGGTGGATTAGGGTTTGCTCACGGTGGTAAGAACCCTGTTTGGTCGTATTTTACGGTGATGAGAGAGCAAGCTCACATGAGGTGAGAAGCTCTATAGCTTTAAGGTGTATATCATGGGTTATCACAAGTTTCTACTTCCCGTACTAGGGTTGAGATATTTGCAGAGGCTCTGAGGCTCAAAGTTAGAGTTTTATTGGGAACGATAACCACCCACTTAGTCAATGGTGAACAGTTGAATCCATATTTTATTAGGAGGCTTGGATCAACTTGTTGGCCCATATTTTTCTCCGACTAAGGAACGTCTTTTCCCATGTTTCCCATGATTATACGAGTAGGGAACGTTCAAGGCGAGATAACCGTTCATTGCAAACGACAGATAGGAGTCGCCTCTCACTGACGATTGCAATCCTTCTGCCCTTAATACACCTTTTACAAATATATCACTACACCAAATATTTGAAAAAAGTAGTTTCATATTTTTATACCACATTTTTCAAATATCCGATATAAAATTAAAGATTTTTTTGAAATAAATTATGATTTTAAATCAAACATTTCAAATATTCAGAAAACTACATAACATATCAAATTTATCAAAACAAAAAAAAAACTAATAGTATTAACTTTGTTTTTTTATTGGACTACCGAACATGAACTATCATATTTTTTTAAAAAGTAAAAAATTAACATAACTTTAACATATTTTTTGAAAATGCCAATAAAAATGCATATTAAAGTTTTTGAGTTTTGAGTTCTCTATCAAAGTTTTCGCACCATGTTGCATATTTTTCAAAACTACAAAAGAGATATTTTTCATATTAAGAAAAACTAGGGAGGTGTCAAATATAAGTGATAGGTGGCGAAAAAAATTCTCTCTAACCAAAGAAAATCCTCTTACCATCGTCTATTCTAATTTAGAGATATGTTTGTGTTAAGGAAAATACTAATCCCATTCTAAGAGGTGAAAAAATATCCTATCAAAATTCAAAAATGAATCTCTAATTTTAAAAATGCATCTTTGGACGCATTTCATGCACACACAACTCATTCATTTTTTTAATCATACCTAAATTCTATGAATAAATTTATTTTAGAAAAGCATTTTCGAAACCTACTAAACTTATATATCACATAACATTACTCGTGCTTTAGTGTGCTCATCACCATGTTTGTATATATGTGAAACTAATATATTTATTAGAGTTATGCTATTTTTCGAGAATGTGGATTTTCGACGCACAAACTCTTAAGTAATAGTATGAAATTGAGAAAAAACCACACTTAAAAGAATTTCAGACATCTGAATCGATGCCTTAGCCATTTTCATTAGGAAAGTAAGTTGCTCGACATGTTCAAACCTTTCATTTCCCTTCCTACCCTTATTTGTCATAATTACAAGAGGTGATGAAAATGATAAAAAAATTAGTAATGAAAACAAATTTATACTGTAATGTATTTTCAAATTTTAAAAATATATTTTTTAAATATTTTTTACAAAATAAAAGTGTGATTCACTTGCACATATATTTAATATACTTTAAATACATCCAAAAAAATACATTTTCAAAATTAAAAAATATTTTTTTATTTTTATCAGAGTACAGTGCTAATTCTTAGGATGTCTTAAGAATTTCAATGTGCTAATACCATACAAGTTTTCCTATAAAATGAACTTTGTTCTGTGTGCCAAATAGACTCTATCTCATATATTGGTCCATTATAACAACATAATCTAGATCGAAGATAATCTCTTTTAATATTGGTGCAATCTAATTTAAAGATAGGTTTATGCTTATAAATTTGAAGTTTTACTATAGAAAACTCCTTTGTTTTGTGTGCCTAAAACATTGTAATCCGCCCAATACACGCAATGTTCATAACAACAACATAATCTTGAAGATAATCCTCTTATGATATTGGTCCAATCTATTTTAGAGATAGGTTTATTCTAATAAATATCAAGTTTTACTATAAAAAAATCTTTTGTTGTGTTTGCCAAACATAAGATAAGATAAAAATAATATTATTATTTTTGTTATTAGTAGTCATAAAGTACAAAATATGATTTTTTTTAAATACAAAATATTATGAATATTGATTACATTTCATTTTTACTATGCAATTTCAACGAAATTAATTAATAACTAAAGACAAAAAAGTAGTTATCAACACAAATAAAAGAGTCAACGAGAGTTGAGAATTTTTTCATCTTCATTTGAATCTATTTCAATTTTCATTTCACCACTTAGTTTTATTTTTCTTCCATCTTTTTTTACTCCAAATTCTCAATTTCTCTCTCACATCCTCCCCCACTGCACTAATGGCGCCCAGTGATGTCAGAGACTTACAGCTCACTTTTCTACCCGCCGGCCGGAAAATGTCCGCCACCGATGATTTCGATGACTTGGAAGACGCACGGCTCCTTGACTTTCGCGACGGGATTGACGACGAGAGAAGAAGAATTCAGGTGAGAATCTCCGGCATGACATGCACCGCTTGCTCCAATTCCATCGAATCAGCTCTGAAAGCGGTTGACGGAGTTCTCAGTGCTTCGGTTGCTCTACTGCAGAACAAAGCAGACGTGGTTTTCAACCCTGCTCTACTTAAGGTTCTTTCCTTTTTACTTCACCGCTCAAGTTTTTTTTACTGCAGTAATTCAGCGATTCCTCGTTTACTTATGGTAATGATGTTTTAAAAGTGATTTTAATCGAAGGTAGAATTTGTATAATTCACCGTGCAAGAAAGATTTTAACAAAATGCAAGTATGAATTACTACCAGAAGTTTGTATTCAATAAATATTGAATTATATTTTGAAACTTATCATATTCCAGGATGAAGACATTAAAAATGTAATTGAAGATGCAGGGTTTGAAGCAGACATATTACCCGAATCCAGTGGATTTGGAAATACTCCACATGAAACCCTGGTTGGACAGTTCACAATTAGAGGTATGACATGTGCAGCCTGTGTAAATTCTGTTGAAGGTATTTTAACAAATCTTCCAGGGGTTAAAAGGGCCGTGGTAGCTTTGGCTACTTCATTAGGCGAAGTCGAATATGATCCAAGTGTTATTAGTAAAGATGATATAGTCAATGCAATCGAAGATTCTGGCTTTGAAGCTGCATTTGTACAGAGCAATGAGCAGGATAAAATAGTTTTTGGAGTTGTTGGTGCCTCCAGTCTAATAGACGCACAATTTATAGAAGACATGCTTAGTAACATGAAAGGAGTAAGGCAGTTTCGTTTTGACTGGATGTCCGGTGAATTAGATGTTCTGTTCGATCCTCAAGTTCTCAGTTCAAGGTCCTTAGTTGATGAGATCCACGGGGAAAGCAATGGAAAGTTTGAATTATATGTTAAAAGCCCTTATGCAAGGATGGCCTCTAAAGATGTTGAAGAAACTTCAACTATATTTCGTGTCTTTATCTCCAGCCTGTTACTTAGTGTGAGTATTTATTTAATCTCAATTTACATAACAATCTTATGGTTTCTTTATATTCCTCTTATTTTCTTTATTCATATTCCTTTTCATGTGATCATGAATCACAATTTCTTTGGGGTATTTGAAATCACTTGCAAAATTACTGAATAACTTCCGATTCCAATCTGTACAAAGTGTTCTGTTAATTTCTATCCTAAAATTAAGAAATACATGTCGTTATCACATTCAATTACTGATACTGTGTTAGCATATCTTATGTTTTTATGTTCTTGTTTGATCTTTTGAATTGATTCTAGCTTGATGCATTTATCAGGTTCCTCTCTTCTTCATGAAGGTAGTTTGTCCTCATATTCCGTTTATGTATTCCTTGTTACTTCGGCGACGTGGGCCTTTTCTCATAGGTGATTGGGTGAAATGGGCATTGGTGAGTGTCATCCAATTTGGAATTGGGAAGCGCTTTTATATTGCAGCTGGAAGGGCTCTTAGAAATGGTTCAACTAACATGGATGTCTTGATTGTTGTGGGAACTACCACCTCTTACGTTTATTCTGTTTATGCTCTTCTATATGGCGCTCTTACTGGATTTTGGTCCCCAACTTACTTCGAAACAAGTGCTATGCTTATAACATTTGTTTTGTTGGGGAAGTATTTGGAAGTCCTTGCTAAGGGAAAGACGTCTGATGCCATCAAGAAATTAGTAGAACTTGCTCCTGCAACAGCTTTATTAATTATTAATGATAAAGGTGCATATTACTTTCATTTTCTATGTTTGTTCTCGTAATCAAGAGGAGATGATTGACAATGATTGTCGAATATTTAGGTTGACATGTCATTTCCTAAGGGTACTTCTTTTCTAATGTTTTAGACTTCATCAATTCATTGACAATAATAATCTAATAAGTATGTCGATTTTCTAGATGGTAAGTCTTTTAAAGAAAGAGAAATTGATTCTTTGCTTGTTCAACCTGGTGACACATTGAAAACTCTTCCTGGTACGAAGATTCCTGCTGATGGTATTGTTACTTGGGGCTCAAGTTATGTAAATGAGAGCATGGTAACTGGTGAATCTGTACCTGTTTTGAAGGAGGTGAATGCTCCTGTTATTGGGGGTACAATAAATATGCATGGCATCCTTCACATTAAAGCTACCAAAGTAGGATCCGATACAGTTTTGAGCCAAATAATAAGTTTGGTTGAAACAGCGCAGATGTCCAAAGCTCCCATTCAGAAGTTTGCTGATTATGTAAGTATTTGGGTCTTGGTTGTTGACCTTCATGTTCTACGAAAGTTACTTTCATTGTGTACGTGTTTCTGTGTGTAGAACTGAATTGCATCATTCCCTCTTATGAAGAATACAATTTTAGTCTGAAACCTATCTTCTGGTTTGTAAAATGTTTCTTTGATTGACCGGAGGTAGTTTTACCAGTGGTTTTTTCTGCATTTTTATTCTGTTATGCAAAACTTTCCAAATTTAGCATGTGTCAGCTTATAAAAGATACATTGAGTAGCCCAGAATCAACATTTGGTTAAGGTTGCATAGTTGGGGTAATATTTTGAAGGCTCTCCTCTAATTGCTGAAAAATGTGGTGTTAAAGAATCAACTTAGGCTGTATTTTTTTTGCTTATTTATTATGTTCTAAAAGTAGGCTTTTTTTGCCGATTCAATAATATCCGGTAGTTGATGGGTTCACATATGATATGAACTCGGGTACCATTCTCTTGGCTGGCAGGTAGCAAGCATATTTGTTCCGACCGTTGTTTCTTTGGCCTTATTGACATTTTTGGGTTGGTAAGTTCGTTTTAACTGGTTTTGTTATATTGCGTAAAGTTGACTTCTAATATGACTGAAATGCTTATTCCTAATCTTATCTTTAAATTTGAATTTATTATCTGCAGGTATATTGCTGGAGCCGTTGGGGCTTACCCAGAAGAATGGCTGCCAGAAAATGGAAATCACTTTGTGTTTTCCCTAATGTTCTCAATATCTGTAGTGGTGATTGCATGTCCCTGTGCACTTGGCTTAGCAACACCAACAGCTGTCATGGTGGGAACAGGGGTTGGGGCAAACAATGGTGTATTAATTAAAGGAGGAGATGCCTTGGAAAGGGCTCAGATGGTGAAGTATGTGATATTTGATAAAACAGGCACTCTAACTCAGGGAAAAGCCAGTGTTACTTCTGCCAAGGTATTCACTGGAATGCAACGAGGGGAATTTCTTACATTGGTGGCTTCTGCTGAGGTGAATTCTGATTTCTTGTCCATTGTTGTCTTTTTGTTATACTGTCATATATCTTTTTATTCCTCCCTTCCTCTTGTCACAGTCTGCTTAATTTCTTTAACTGTGTTATTGTTAGAATTTAAGTGAGTTATTAGTGCCACGTCATCTAGGAATAGGCTAATTGAAGGATATAAAAGAGATGGGGATCATATACTCAATGCCTCGAGCTTGTGTGAAAATGTGGTGTCAAGGTCTCTTGGTGGTCTTGGATATTAGCCCGTTGTTACTCCCTGTTCTCTCCAAACTCCCTAACAAGCTTATCTTATTGTTGGTAAACAGCATCTGGGAACTATCAAATTACCAAAAATGCGATAAAGTAGACACACAATTTAATTACAGAGTTCGACCATTTGTGCTTACATCTTTGACAGCAGAGCGGTTGTTGTGATTTCTATTAATCACAATTAGGGCTACAAGATTACAATATGTGTTTAATGCTACAGTCCTAACTTAACCCTCAACTTCGCTACGGTCAAGCAACTATCCACTTGTTAATAAATATATGCAATACACATTAGTTATTTCATGTTGTCACGGGCATGGGATAAACAATAAGATTGGAGTAGATTTATCATTTTATTATTTATTTAATTTGTCAGAAAAACTTACTTTTCTATATTAGAGGAACCAATAGCAAGTCCATTAATTTATTTTATTTGTTTATATAATTCAGGCTAGCAGTGAACACCCACTAGCAAAAGCAGTATTAGCATATGCACGCCATTTTCATTTCTTTGATGATTCTTCAGCTATTACAGAGAATGATGTGAAGTCTGGGTGGCTTTTTGATGTCACAGACTTCTCTGCTCTCCCAGGAAGAGGTGTTCAATGCTCTATAAACGGGAGGCATATTTTGGTATTGTCACTTTACTATTGTTTTCTAATATTTTTTTGTAGAGTTTCTTACGAGTTATTGACTATTTTTTTGTAAAGAGTTTCTTATGAGAGGCAGCATATCCTCAACAGGTTGGTAACAGGATGTTGATGGTGGAAAATGATATTGATATTTCAAAAGAAGTGGAAAATTTTGTTATTGAGCTTGAACAAAATGCGCAGACAGGGATACTAGTATCATATGATAATATATTGATCGGAGCTTTGGGGGTTGCAGACCCACTAAAAAGAGAAGCTTCTGTGGTTATAGAGGGCCTCCAGAAAATGGGTATCATGCCTGTTATGGTTACAGGAGATAACTGGAGAACAGCTAATGCTGTAGCCAAGGAGGTCTGTATATAACTGTACCATGTTTCTTTTTGTGCTGGCTAGTAAAACGTAATTTTCTGAACAAAAATTGACGACATTGTCAAACTTGTGACGACAAATGTTTTGCATGGCAGGTTGGCATCCAAGATGTAAGGGCAGAGGTGATGCCTGCGGGAAAAGCCGACATTGTTCGTTCATTCCAAAAGGATGGAAGCATAGTTGCAATGGTGGGCGATGGTATCAACGATTCTCCAGCATTAGCTGCTGCTGATGTTGGCATGGCAATTGGGGCTGGAACTGATGTTGCAATAGAAGCTGCTAACTTCGTGTTGATGAGAAATAACTTGGAAGATGTGATCACAGCCATCCATCTTTCTCGGAAGACCTTTGATCGTATTAGATTGAATTACATATTCGCGATGGCTTACAATATTGTTGCTATACCAGTTGCAGCTGGGGTTTTATATCCTTCACTTGGTATCAAGCTGCCACCATGGGTTTCTGGTGCATGCATGGCTCTTTCTTCTGTAAGTGTTGTATGCTCTTCTTTGCTTCTTAAAAGGTATAGAAGACCCATACTTACCACAGTTCCTGAAATAGTTGTAGAATAACAAGATTGTAATGAAAACAATAGATTGCAATTTATTACCCCATTATAATGGACTTTAGAATAGGAACTTGTAATTCCAGTTTTGTGCATGTGCTTTCAGTTTCTGCATCCATAGGGTGTGCTATTGTAATTGTAGCTGCCAACTGGTTGTAAACTTTCTTGATTTATAATTGGTGTAGCAATGTAGCCTCTCTCTTCGCTTTTGAAAGTGTGCTCAAGTTCACCGATCATTATTTATGTGTAACTTCTTCAATGGAGTCATATATACAATTCATATGTGAACATGCCCTAAATCAAAGTATGTTGATGAAACTTGTCCTGTTTCGTGTGGTACCTAGGTTTAATATTAGGGACACTGAATTTGTCTCTAAAAATGAATAATTCCATAGGTATGCTTGAAGAAACCTCATGTTCATCGATTTTTCTGCTTTTGACCCGTTTACATCGGCTTCCACCAATTTTATAACAAGACTGATTCAATGGTCAGTGCGTGTCATTAATTCTTCCGTTTCTGGTTTGACCTGTTTTGATGAATGTAAGTGAAGATAATGAGTGTGATCAAATGAGATAGAAATAAGTTTCTATTTCCACATTGTTTGTTTCATGGAAATCTCTCTTTTCTATTAATACTATTAAACCAACAAACTCACCATATAACTCAGACAATAATAAATGGGGATTTCTTATCCCCACCCATTGGATCTGTTAGCCACCGTGCATATTTCTTTAAATGTCCTAAGATTTCAGAAATATATCTTCGGACGCACATTTTTTTTACTCAACTTGAATTTTTTTCGGAGATATATCTTCGAAATCACTATAAAACACGTATTTTATTTGTTTTTGAGTCAGACCTTTCAAATTTACAAATAAATTATATTTCCGAAAACAATTTATTTGTAAATTTGAGGGTCTGACTCAAAAATAAATAAAATACGTGTTTTATGGTAATTTCGAAGATGTATCTTTGAAAAAATTTAAAGTTGAATAAAAAAAAGAATGCGTCCGGAGATATATCTCCAGAACCCGAGGACATTTCAGGAAACGAGTATGGTAGTTAATAACTCCAGAGAATGTTATAAGAACCTCTCTAATAAATGAAGTAAAGTTTCACCTTGAACCACTGATTTTGACAAGGGCTTAAGTAGAAAGTGTTTTGACAAGGGCTTAAGTAGAAAGTGTCACAAAATTTCTTTGTTGGAAATGAAAGGATTAGTTGAGAATTGGAATAAATTGTAAAAAATAAGCAAAAGGTTATTGTGTGAAAAGGTGAATTTGAAAAAGTTTATTAAAGTCTCACATTTTAGGGATATCACATTTTAGGAGTGTTTAAATATGATAGATTGGCCTCTTAGGTATCATATGCAATTTTGGGAATTCATTATTGTGCACCACCATAAGCCATAATGTGCGCCTACTAGTTCGGTCTGGGCTTCGATGTTCCGTTATTTTTTGGTCCATAATATATTTAAGAAGATGAGATTAATGTCTCGGTGTTCCATTATTTTTAGGTTCATAATATATTCAAGAAGATGAGATTAATGCCATTAGATAAGTGAGTTGTTCATGATGGTAACCTGATCAAAATCGTGGAGATCATAAGAATTATATTTGATGGGTAATAATAAGTTGCGAGTAATATGAGATGATTATGCTAGTATAAATAAAGAGGTGTATGAATCCTAACGCGATACGATGATGAAATAATAGAAACTCTTAATGAAATGTTTACTCTGTATGAGTGGAGTACCTAGATACAAAAGTACTCTTAATAGACTCACTTGTGTGATTGTGGAATTTAAGTTGATTCCTACGAAATTTTGAGGCAGAATAACCTTCACTAAACTGGAATACACGTGCAAGGTTATTAAAGCACAAGCTTTTAGAATACACCATAAAACAAAGTTGTGTGTGAGTTTGATGTTTAAGATAAAGTTCAAGACAATGGGTCACTCTTGTTAAATACAAATCTTACTTGATATGCAAAGATTCTAGTCGCAGACACCTCGATTTATGCACAATTTTAAAAACGTTAGACGTTCCTTCTAAAACACTTTTTTTTAAATTTAAGTCGGGAATTGTTGGAAATTAAAGGATAAGTTGAGAACTAGAAATAAACACAAGTATGAGGTAGTGTGTGAAGAGGTGAATGAAGAAGTTTATTAAAGTCCCACATTTGAGATAACACACTTTAGTAGTGCTTATATAAGGCAGGTTGACCTCTTGAGGACAATTTTGTGAAAAGATAAGAATGCACCATCATAAACTATCACACACGTGCTCGCTGCCGTTTGGTCAGCTCGACTCAACTCGGGTCGGGCCAAACTTTCTTTGGTGATATATATATTTTTTGCTATTAGAAATGATGAAATTAATAAATATGAATTAATTTAATTACTAATGTAATTTCCTTAACGGTAACCTATTTGTTGACCAAACCCCATTGTCTTCCAAGTTTCTGCCAGATCCATTATGCTCCCCTATCTTTTTCTCGCATTTGGGTTTTAAATTTTGCCTCTTGGGGTGTGTCTCAAGGTGCACGCAATTTTGTGAAATTATTAATGTGCTCCAATTTCTAGGCAACAACCACCACCTCAAAGAAATGTCGTTGGTGCTTTCACTTGCTACAACTGTGGAAAACTAGGTCATATGGTTAAAAGATGTAGTAGCAGGCCAAAACATGTTGCTTCCCCTAATGCACAAGCTAACCTAAATGATGAGCAACTTTTGCTATGATCACTGAAATCAACATAGTTGATGGATTTTATGATTGGTGGATAAACATTGGGGTCTATCGTCATGTGTGAGATATCACCATTTAGAAGTGCTTATATAAGGTAGATGTGAGTGCACTATCCTCTTAGATATGTTTTGAATGATGTCAAAACTAGGACACTTAGTATTTTGTGTACATTGGATCTTTTTGTCTATGTCTAGATGTGCATCATTATAATAGGACATTTAAAATCAGAGTAGATAAGCCATTACAAGTAAAAACTATGATTTTTCATGAAAATAGGTGAATGAGTCGGTACATCATAGCTATGAGTTAATATATACTGTAGAATTTTAAAAACAAAACTTTTGTCTGCTATGTAGCGGCTCATCTGCATTATGTAGTGGCTCATACTGAAATGTTTTTACAAATATTTAGTTGTGCCTCACTTGTATTGATTAACAGGAGGCTTGAGTCAATACATACTGCATATGTAGCGGCTCATTCATGTTATATACCGGCTCATGCTGAAGTATTTTTGTAAACAATTAGTTCTGGTTCATTTGTATTGATACATATAGTCTATGTGGTGGCTCCTAGGCTCTATGTATTGACTCATATGAATTTGGAGTTAATACATCATGTTTGGAGTCAATACAAGTATTGACTCATACTTTTCAAAACTTGTAATTTTTGCTAAAAATCTGTTTTGCTTGTTTTTTCTGTTACACGCACAAATAAGAATTCATGCATCATTTCTATTCATGAAAACCAAGAACACAAAAGAAGTTTCTCTTCATCTTCAAACTTTTTTCTTCATACATTCAACAACTACACATAATCATTTTTGTTGATTGTCATCTAGATTAGATTGATAAGATCAAATTTAGGATTGTTGTAATGAAATTGGGTTGAAGATTCTTTGGGGTTTCATTGATAAAACCAGTTAGGAATTTTCCTCCTAGATCAAGGATGTTTTTTTTTTGGGGAGGGGGGGGGGTGCCCAAGTATTTTCAATTTAGGTTCAACCGAATGAAAGCTTTGAAGAAAAGAGTTTTTGTCAAAGGAGTAGCGGTAACTGGAGGATCAATTGAAAGGCTTGGGAAAAGATTTTGCAACGAGGATTCAGCCGAGTGAAAGCTTTGAAGAACAATGTTGTGTCAAAGAAGTAGCATTAATTAAAGGATCGACTTGGAATTTTTTGGTCACTTGATCTTGATAAAGATCAAGGGGAGAGAAGAAGTTATAATCAAAATCAAACATAGGATTTAGGGGTTTTGATTGCTACTTTTTCTCTTGTATACAACTCTTGCAAATGTTAATTACATATCTCAATTCTATTGAAATTGAGGGCAGATGTACGCATAATAAGGACAATTGAGGAAGTAAATAAACAAATTTTGGTGTTCTCTCTCTCTCTCTCTCTCTCTCTCTCTCTCTCTCTCTCTCTCTCTCTCTCTCTACAATTTGATAACACACTTAGTGAGCAATTTAATTAGCTAAAAAATTCTGGTTGTGTTGAAGTATCTCAAACTGTTTTTATAATACAATTGCAATTGGAATTCCATACTAACAACACAAAGGGAATTAAGCTTTGTGTTTATTGCACACCAAGTGCTTGATAAATTGTCTTCATACTAAGTGTTTGATAAATTGTCAAAGTCAATTTTTGTTTTCTATTTTATTGGAAATTGTTTATCATTTTGTGATTTAGTTCAAACGTATTTGGTAAAACATATTGACTCACTTTCTCATGCTTAATATACTTTTGTTAAGGTTTAAAGTCATATTTGATTCTTTCAATAACGGTTTGGATATATGACTGTCGATCCTGAATAACTTCCGCTTGCCATAGAAAATATTTTTTAAACCAGAATTTTTAATTGAAGAAAATTTTATTGGCGATCTATTCAACCCCCTTTTAGATCGCTGCCCTCGTCAAACAAGTGGTATCACGAGCACCGGTTTATCTTGTGCTTTAAAATCTCTCATTAGATTATGGATTTCGAAGCTAACAGGGTGTATAATAAAGTGCCTATTTTCAATGGCGAAAACTATGGTTATTGAAAGGATTGTGTGCATATCCATATCAATTATATTGATAGAAATATTTTAAACACAATCCAAAATGGTCCATTTGAAATTACTATGACCAATGCGGATGATGTTGTTGTACCTAAACTGGAAGAACAATGGAATGTAGAAGAAGAGAGAAAGTGGTATTGTGATTAGAAAGTAAGGAATATTCTAATCTCCACTTTAGAAGTTGATGAATATTATCGTGT